GGCAGGAGAGGAGGAAACGATGTCTGCACAAACCGGCTAGCCTTGGATCATTCTTCAATGCCGGTAGCATTGATCTGTAATCACTGTAATCACCCACCCACCTTATTGTTTAGACCTTGCGCCATTTGTTTTTCTTTGGCTTTTACCGATGATGGCTCATTTTCGAAGAGGGTGTTCTTTTCTGGATGTAAAGACCTTTTAATGCTGCAGGACATTGGCTTCGTCAACAAGATACAGACTTCTATCGAGGAGCATATATTCCTTCCCTTGCATGACTTGAGGAATAGAACTGGCTTGGTTGCTTATGCGTACCAATTTTTAAATTTATATTTCACCATTAGTAACAGCGGCGTAACGTCGAGGTGGTAAGGGAGGCACGTGCCCCCCCCCCCACTTTTTAAGAAAAGAAGATAAAAAAAGAAGGAAAAAACCCAAGAGATGCATGATATCAGTATCTTAGAGTTCCCGTGCCCCCTCACTTTGTCCTGCACTCCTTCCACAACCCCTCATATATCCCGTTTCCCCCTACTTTTTCCATCCACGCTACGCTTATCATTAGCAATTTGTGTTAAAAAAATTTTGTGCGGAAACTTATTCACCACTCCGTATGAGGCGGACGTATTACACAGACTCCTGCATATGGAATATTCAAGGCATCAGATTGATGCATTTTCGTCCTTAAGGTTCCAATTGCACCCTAGTGCCATCAACTTCTCCCCTTAACCCTACCCCTAAATCAAATCAAAATATTACGGAAATTTAATTTCATGACAGATACTTAAGTTGTTTGTAAACCCAGACTCCGCCGGGTCACCGGTCCCAAACCAATATGCATCTTTATCCGAGACGTGATGGGTAGTTCGAGTGGTCTGGCATAATCTAGATGCATCTCAACTTCCGATCTTCTAATTCATCGTATGGAAGAAGGACTCTTTCATAAACCCTCGGGGCAATGAGTTGACTGCTGAGAGATTCACACGGAATCGCGTGGGAGTGCATTGCTTTTTCGTAATATCTCCTTGCCTCCGGCACGAGTTCGTAGCTCGTGCGTCTCGAAGGGATTCCAATGTGATTGCTTCTTCCATTTTTCGAGTCCGGTTCCATATGGTTTTCGTCTTTGGTTTCTTGTGTTGATGGCTCAATGCGTATCGGCGGTGGACTACAGGTAAAGCTTCCACGCTGAAAGGCCTATGATATTACCACAATAGGTTCATCTGATATTAATGTATTCGGAGCCTATTGCCTTGAATCAATAGGTGCTTCCTTCACCTTCTCTCAATATTAATCCAATTCCTTGATTAAGATATCCGCCATTGCATATTTTTTTAATGGCATTTTAATGATAAAAATTGAGTCTTCTCCATGATCTTTGAACAGTTATCCAAAGAAAATTGCTTTTTTGTGTCCTTGAGGGGAGTGGAAAATCAAGTAAATACATTTTTTTAATGTCATCTTCTTTTAATTGTATTTTAAAGTGTACGAATCATTTTCCACACCGAACCGCCGTGATTGGAGGATTTCGGAGATGACAATCATATGAAATGGATTGAAAACTGTACCCTTTCTGTTGGCGACCTAAAGATCCGTTCTGACGGTCGAAATTATCTCGCCTTCGATTGAATTCCTACCACCCAATCCCCCCCCGGTAGCGTAGAAGAAAGCTGTATATGGGCAATCAATGTCGTGCAACTTTCACATATTAGTGTCCCTCACTTCGGGTTTCTTCCTTTTCAATTTCTTCTTGAGAAAGTGTAGTTTGCCGATATCTGTCGGTATAGATCGTTGTGTTTGGTAAAAAAAAATTCCCTTATTATTGGACGATTCTTGTCCCAAAGAAAGTTAAGCATAACCATTTCTTGACCCCTTGAGATCTCAACATCCTTGGTCTAGGAGATGAAGAATGCCGCCATTTCTTTTGATTCTCCCTTCGTTCCAGATGGCTGCTTTGCATAGAGAATTTTTTTTTAGGAATAAAGCAAACCTGGCTGCATATGTGTGCCAATTTTTTTTTTTACATCCCACCATCAGTTCTTTAAATAAAATTGTTTGTGGAAACTTATTGATCATCCCTCTCGTTTTACCTTGTCCTATTTCTATGGTCAAATGTCCATTTACTTTCCTCAAACAAAAGAAGACCCTTTTAACCCGAAAACTCAATAGTAGACACTCGACCTCAAGGTACGCCTACAACGTCATAATCTAATGCTGGGAGTCTCAAAATATAGTTTACGCAATAGTGACTTTTTCTGATATGATAATCAACCTGATTTTTTACTTTTTGCATTAGGCAGAAGGAGAAGAGATTAGGTTTTCATCTCTTGAAAAATACATGAAAATTAACTCTTTCTGAAGCTATATATGGAACAATGAAAATTAGGATGAAAAAAATGTACACCCCATTATTAAAGGACAAGTTCAAGACATGCAACTCCTCGAAGACAACACACCATCAGACGCTTAGCGAGATTTTCTACCGCTGACTGACTTTTTCCTGATTTGGTTTTAGATATTGAGAGAGATCGGTCGCCAAGAAGATCAATGACTCCAGTGGCATATTTGCTGTGAAATGCTCCAATGTGCATTTCACAAAACCAGCAAAAACATGGAGAGTTTCACGGAGGTACACTTGTGCCTCACTAGCTTCTACGAGTGCAATATTACTTCTTGCAGCGTTAACTTATTTTTGAGACAACATATATTTACATACGATTTCCGCAACTCAGGATTAGACTTCATGAAATGCTGACTTTTCCTGCAATATCAAGATTTTCTTAATTTTTTTTCGGAAAACTTGTTACCTAAAACTTGGTGAGTGGGGTGAACGGCCGTTAAGGGGCAGTTAATGACAATGCCAATTTTCATCTCCACTATTGTCCAGCATGAGACCGAAAACTCAAGCTCAACAAGGTGAATAAGGAACTAAGTAAGACATCAGAAGAGAAGAAGTATCAATCCCGAATTGTGGCGGCCCGTGTCACTTTCTGACCCATCCGACGCTTCAACGCTAATGGCATTGAAGTAGCGTTCTCATGCTAATGGGTTTGTGCAGACATCGTTTCCTCCTCTGCTGCACGATGTTAAAATTATTCAGATGCATTTGAGTGATAGTATTTGACCCTAAATTTTTTCTGGCGCTCATTTCCTCATCATGTTTCTTTCGTCTCATGTACCACAAATCAGTGACCTCGTTGCCAATGAAGTCTGAAAGATCCCCTTTTTGTACTTAAACTTTCCTGAGATTGGTATACAGATTTCTTACCTCTAAATAAGTCATGGTGATGCCACTTTCTCTGTTGTAAGCACTTGCGATTTTGATGACATCATCGGATAGCATAGTCATGGGCTCCCAGGCAGTATTTTGTAGGATCTGCTTGAATGATTCATAGATTCTCTTTCCTTGTTCCATGTATGGTTGCTATTCGACCTGGGGAACGATTCAGTTATTTTTCTTTCAAGCCTATGCATATTTATAGGATGTCTAATTTTTTAAGTGAAATCGAATTGATGCACACGGGAATGGGTCGGTCTTCGGGCCGCATTTGACTTCTGGATACGTTATGGAAAGCATTCTTGGTACCGTGAAGTAGTAGACCAGCTGATTAGTGAGAAAACCAAAAAATAACTTCAGTTCATGCGCATTTGAAGATCGTAAGGCTTCGATTGGAAAAGATACCGTTCTCCAGGAGAAACGGATACTCATTTGAAAGAGCATTAAAATTTATTATTATTATTTTCAACTGCCCTTAGGATTTAAAAAAAGCAGCATTTTTGAATGGTGGAAGTGAAATTTTGGAATCATTCTTTTAATCGACTGTGGATTGTCCAAGACTAATGCATTCTCCAAGTGATTGTGTCAGTGTTTCGAGTGTCTCACATGTATCCATAGTTTTCCTCACAAAGAAGGCTGCTGACTGGAAGAAAATAATACGCATTCGATTGTCAGCTGAATGAATAGGTGAACTTTTGGAGATTAATGAACAAATCTTGCTTCCTTTCAAGTTCAGGAAATAGTGGTAAAAAATCAATCCCTCGAGATCGCTGAAAACATTTCATTCAACAGTGTGTAACTTGGACTTTCTGAAGTTTACGTTAATGCCAATGAAGTTGCATTTTCTTTATAAGAAATTCACTGTTATTTGCGAAATTTTCATTATCAGCCACCCATTTCTCCGACTTGGCTCCACCCCAAGAGCTCCGGGAAGTAAGCACCTCAAGGTCGATAAATTTCCTCATACGTTTCCATGGTCAGTGTCGGGTTTCCTGAGGGTAGCTTTTGCCAATATGAAAAAAGGTTCTAAAGTAAAGAGAAGTTTAATTTGCAGAGGTTACCACAGGAATTCAAGCCACTCAATGTTTTGTCCATATTATAAACTTATTGAGATTTTTTTAATTATTAAAACTTAATAGGTGCTAAAACAGCCTTTTTCCCTAAGTCCAAAGCACCAAGCCACACTCTCATAGTATCAATTGGCGTCTTGGCTCTGGGTATTTGTGGCATAGCCGCATAAACAAGTACCTCCTACTTCGAATATATTTACATATTTCTATGCGTCTACATTTTGTTTAATTCAAATGTGGCAACCCTATCAATGACTACAACGATGGAACTTCCATAAATGTCTCATTCCAATTCCGAAAATTCAATTTCAAAGGCCACTGGAGAAACGGTGACTGTTGGAAACATTACTTCTGTCTCCCACTAATTCTGAGAGCAGCGGGAATGATAAATTATATTCAGCTGCAAGTATACAGTATAATTTTCCAACGAAAAATCTTCGAATTCCGTTGAGGAAAATGCCATTAAATTACTAAATGGAATTTCATAGAGTGAAAATATTCATTGTAGTTGAATCGAATTATCATTCTTAAAACTTGACGTATGCAGGGTTCACACAGAAAGCGTGAACGAACCAGTGAAAACGAAAGAGTAATTCGGTACGTAGCATCATGAATGGGAATATAAAAAGCGACGAAGTAGAGGGGACGGAAGATTTAGGCCTATGTCTAGTAATGTCTACGCATTCACACGTCGAGACGGCGAGACAGGAGACAAGAAGGCGGGTGCCAGGCACGTCCCGGCACAGAGACTCGGGGAAGGGGAAGGGGGAAAGGGGAAGAAGGAGGGAGTAGGTGCGAGAGGATTTTGCGAGGGAGGGAGAGGGCGCGTGAGCGGAGAGGGGAGGGAGGGAATCCGCAACCGGGAACAGCCGACTGGCTCGGTGTAAATTTTCCTACCGATTCTGTTTAAAATATTGTTATCTCCTAATGACTGGAATGAATTTCACAAATTTGGTGTCAATCAAATCCTTATACATGTCCCAACATTTTATAGTAAGTTATATGGGAATCCTCATGCCTAGAGAGGAGAAATAGCACATAATATAGCTGACATGCCGTAAAATATCAAACTTGGGTTCAGTAAAATCGTAAAGGATCTGAGGCGGATGAACGGATTCGTTTGAAAATGGTTCTAAAGCTTCCCAAGAGGCTTCCCCACAGATTTGAGTGTTGTTTTTTTTAGATTCGCTCTCGTTCTCGAGAAATGACCATGAATCTGGGGTACTATGGTAGTAAAATCGTAAAGGATCTGAGGCGGATGAACGGATTCGCTTGAAAATGGTTCTGAAGCTTCCCAAGAGGCTTCTCCACAGATTTGAGTGTTGTCTTTTTTGAGATTCGCTCTCGTTCTCGAGAACTGACCATGAATCTGGGGTACTATGGGAAAATAGAGGGATTTTGAGGTATATCATCGAACTTCCTGGGAAAATGGATCGATGAATCATTGTGCCATTTGACACGAAGACGGACGAGGATGGTCTCCAAAAAATGGATTATGCTTTTTCCGGTGCAATGTTTCTACAGAGAATGAGCGAGAGAAGAAGTGAATTCGCGTTTCCCGAATTTTCACAAAAGGCGCCACGGCGTTTCGGGAAACAGAGAGATGAGCAAATTTGTGGGCTCGTAATATAACGTGTTCTGTGGCGAGGAAAATGGCGCAAATTTGACGTTTCTGCGACCAAGGGTTGGGGAGATGCAGATTTTCAAAGAGAGGCATGCAAATCGTGACCTTTGACCATTCGCCACGGTCAGGTGCTTGACCTGAGAGTGCCAAAAAGTGGCTTCAAGGCCCTCCATTGGGGTCCTCTACAATAATTATAAGCCAGAATTTGATTCTAGGGGGGTCGATTTTCATCTTCCCTTAGTACCTTAAAAAAAAAGTCCCGAATGTGATGCGTTCTCATCGCATTATATTTTCAAGATGAGTTTCAAATACCATCACATGGAGGATATATTGTTTCACGACCAAAATGCAACAATTTCATTCCGTGTGCATCTCTTCCGCATTTGATGCAATTTGACATACCATACCATACCATACCCATTCTACGCCACCCCAAGGAGTGTGGGTGGTAGGGATTCAATCCTAAGACGAGAGAATTTCGTTCTTCAGAGCAGATCTGTAGTTTGCCAACAGAAATAGCACGATTTTCGATCCATATACTACCCGTGACTGTGTCATCTCCGATTCAGAGTGGGAAATGATGGGTACACTGAAATATACAATGAAAACTAAATTTCTTTTTATTGATTCGCTTCATTATTCACGCCCCTCAAGGATACAAAAATATTATTTTCTTCAAGAGACTCTGTTTAAAGACCATGGAGAAAACTCAATTTTCGACATGGGTGCTGTATCTGCTACGTCTATTGCCTTAAGACATGAATTGGTGCATTGCAGACCGTGGTGAACGTCTCAGTTGACGTGATCTTCAGAGACGTCTGGGGTCATATGCAAGATTACCCAAACTGGAATCACCATTTGCAACGTGTGGAAGTCGTACTTGTGAGGCCTAAAAAGCAATCCGTTTCCTCTTTTTACTGTCTCGAACAGCTTGCTCGAAACGTAATTATTTCAGGATATCACGCCAAGATGCCGCCTGGTTTACCAGGTGTTACACCCGGTCGGGAACGGCATCATCTGGAGCAGGGACATCGTCGCCATCATGTATTGGGACAAGGAAGGCGATGGAATTTACATCTCCCTCGCCAGCACCTCCTGGCCCGCATTGCCTCCGTCTAGTCAATATGTCAGGTTCGTTGCAGTCTCATTTCGTCGTAAGGAGAACTTGGAAGGGAGATGCGGTATGGGTAAAGATTGTCTTAGATCGATAAATAACGTTCTTACCGAAAGTCGAATCACTGTTCGTTTGTTTCTGCCTTCTATCTCGAGGTAGTTCATCGCAAAGGCGGCTATACACCACAAAATGAAGTGAAAACCCCATGTCTTTCGTAAATCCAAATGAATGAGGAATTCCCCATTGCATCTATCATTAATGAAATTGCAATAATTTCCCGGTAAGTTATGCTCCTGGGATATCACAAGAAGTTAAGAAATCTTCTGGTATTCAAAACGGATGAGGAAAAAATCCTAATGAATACATGAAAAGCGGAAGCTACGGAGAAGCTACGCAGATGTTTCTGATGTGGAGCAGTCGGCAATTCTGGGTAAAGATTATTTTCTTTCGGAAGGCATGAGAAAACCAACTTCAGGAGAGCAGGCATCCTTGCTTTTCGTTTGTGAACTCAACCATTCCTGCTGGGGGGAATCAAGTGGGGAATGTTGCGATTATCAGTTCCGCAGACGAACATTAATGAAGTAGATCGGAAATTGCAATTGAGACGTTGAAACTCCGCGATTTCACATGTCTCAATGCTAATCCGAATTTAAGATTTGATTCGATATTGTCCTGCTTTCATTTCTAGCTCGCGCCCCAGAACATGTGGTTTCCAAAACTTGCCCAAGACTTTGGAGTCAGCGGTGCTATCCTACAGTTTATAATCTATTTTTACAACATGCCTATCCTATTTTTTGGTGCAAAGTTATAAGTCCAAATCCTCTAAAAACGAGAGGATCAGGAAAAAGCTTGATTTCGTTTTCCACAGGGCAACCTTCTACCCACAAGGATACGTTTATGCTCCAATGCCTGGCGATCCCGAGAAGACCTTAATCCGGCTGGTCCATCACATTGACGTCCATCTGGCGTTCATCCCCGCGCCAGTCATCAGCCTCATCTTAGCGAAGACCGGCAGGGACACCGTCATGCAATTCAGAGATCACTTGGAAAACTTGAGGAAGGAATTCACGGGATTGGGGGGAGTCTGACTCTTCGTTTTTGTGTTATGTTTTTAAATCAGTTAACCGGGGACTAGATATTCCCAAGGCATTCCAAAATACCGGGACTTCCCCTATCGTTTATCCAACACTTCAAAATTTTATCGCATTCCACGCGCTTGCAGACTCCTTCATGAAAATACAGAAGAGGATGATACTGATGTGAATCTTCAGCTCCTTTTTCTTCCATCGGTATTACGAAACGACTCCATCTGAAGGATCCCTTCCATCTTCCCACTTCACATTTCCCATCTTGAAATTCGAGGAACAGCCTGTCGACATTCCGTATATATCAGGTCATCCCATATGTAATGTCGTTTTTTTCCTCTGTTTTTCAAAATTAAAATACACCTGCATCGCATCAAGTTTCAATCAAGTATGTATTCCCCTTCGTTCTCTATGATTCTCTGCCACCTTTCTACAAGCATTTCAATTCCATGTTCATAAAATTCCTTTGGCTTTGAAGCAAAAAATGCGGACAGGTCACTTTTGATAGCCTCCAAACTTTCAAATTCTTTTCCGTTGTGATAGATTTTAGACTTCTGAATAGGTGGTAATCGGAGGGTGAAATGTCTGGTGAATACGGCGGATGTGGAGTTTTTTCCCAACCCAGCTCTTCGATTTCGGCACACGTGATCCGAGAGGTATGAGGACGCGCGTTGTCCTGATGAAACAAAACACCCTTGCGATTGGCCAATGAAGGACGTTTTTCCTGCAATGCATCGCTCAAACTTTGGAGCTGCCGGCAGTATACCTCCGTTGTTTTGGTTTCATTGGGCTGCAACAGTTCAAAATAAACCACGCCAAGAATATCCCACCAAACGCACAGCAAAACCTTCTTGGGGTGAAGACCTCTTCTTGCCTGTGGTACAGCAGGTTTCCCGGCACTAGCCCACTGTCGACGACGCTTAACATTGTGATAAAGCACCCATTTTTCTTCCCCAGTAATGAGTCGACTCAAAAACGGCGCTTGAAGTGCACGAGAGTGTAGGGAAGAGCAAGTGTTTACTCGATCCCTAAGATTGTCTGGTGCCAACACATGTGGAACCCACTTTCCTAGTTTTGATACTTTTCCTAGCCGTCGCAAGTGGCGGTGAACGGTGGAATGGGTGGAATTGAGCTTCTGAGCAAGTTCTTCAACAATTACAGCAGGATCTTCATCAAGTGTAGCCACCAGCAGTTCATCATCAAACTCAATAGGTCGGCCTGAAAGTGTTTCGTCAGTTAAGCTGTAGTCACCAGACCTGAATTTCTGGAACCACCTTTGGCATTTCATCGTATTCAAAGCTTCCTCATCATAAACATCTCGAATGTTTTTCGTGGCTACAGTCGCGTTATTCATAAAGCATTATATGCCTCATGTGTTCTTCTGACACCTCCATCTTGTCTTTAGTGTCCAAGAAAAACGGAGCACTGTTACCTCGTGAAAAGCTGCACATATATTGACAACTAACCCCTGCACAAGTTAGCATAGAAATATTCCATGGGATGTTCGCAGACACATGTATAAAGAAGAGACAAGTAAGGCTATGCCAGGAAAACGACATTACTTATGGTATGACCTGATACATTCGAAATACTTGGGGTCCAGACAACACATCGACACCTCCGTAGATATCGCGAGTGTAACCTCTTTCCGTCATGAATTTCTGAATTAGACGCTTCTTAACCATTTTCCAGGGAGGAGGACATTTTGTCGTTTTAGCACAAGGCGAGAACGGTACTAATGTTTTTCTTGCTGGGGCTGCTTTGCAAGCTAAGCCGTAATTGGGAAGGACGGGCACGTAGGCAATGCCCATGATTTAGCTGATAATGGTGCTGGCGATAATGGTGGCGCCAACTCGACTGATTGACGATTCAGCAAATTGAATTCACCCGGCATGGGCCTGTACCTTTGAAAAAATTCGCCTGCAAAAGGGTCAAGTTTAGAATTCGTCCCTGGCTGTAACAGATGCGCCAAATTGAACAATTTCATCATAATGATTCATAGCGAGCCGGAAAAAAAATATATACAAGAGAATATTTACAAAATTATCTACGCCAATATTAATAATATGTCAACTAGTATCACACCCGTTTCTGGTCTCTCTTTTCACTCCCGTGGCTCTGGGTGACTAATATGAATCGTCATAATTCTTCTCACACAAATTGAGCGTCAATAATAAGAATGGGAAAAGGGGAACACGCCGTCCTTGGTTGAGTGTCTCGATTTTTTTGCCTTCGTGCGTACGAATCAATAATGAAACGTTTATTCACCATCTCGCCTATTAATCACAGTGACTTTGGCAAGGCATCCACGGTTTTAAACGCATCTCGTCTTGCTATTCATGAAAAACATGTTTCAATAAAGATTTGAAAGTTCAAATAAGCAATTTACAGTGTTACTACCATAATTGCCTTGAAGAAGCACGCATTGCAAACCATATGCCCACCAAGAAGGCTTTTTGATACACCATACAAATAATTGCATGGAATTGTCGTCCTATGAACCCTATAACGTGGTAATATCTTCTCTTGTCCTTCCAGCAGTGATAATTCCATGGAGAAGTTACTCCCTGTTTAAAGACAAAAAAATCAGTACTTGGAATTTAAAGCATCAGGCTCAAATTATACCCAAAAAATGCATCATGAAATGCATATTTTTTCAAATATCAGTTATACTCATGATTGGCGCCATATCGAGATAAAGCCAGTGTTCACAAGAAGTTAAGAAATCTTCTGGTATTCAAAACGGATGAGGAAAAAATCCTAATGAATACATGAAAAGCGGAAGCTACGGAGAAGCTACGCAGATGTTTCTGATGTGGAGCAGTCGGCAATTCTCGGTAAAGATGATCTTCTTTCGGAAGCCACGGGAGAACCAACTTCAGGAGAGCAGGCATCCTTACTTTTCGTTTGTGAACTCAACCATTCCTGCTGCTGGAAATCAAGATGGGATTGTTGCGATTGTCAGTTCCGCAGACGAACATTAATGTAGTAAATCGGAAATTGCAATTGAGACCTTGAAGCTTCGCGATTTTACACGTCTCAATGCTAATCCGAATTTAACATTTTATTCGATAGTGTTCTGCTTTCATTTGTAGCTCGCGCACAAGAACATGTGGTTTCCAAAACTTGCCCAAGACTTTGGAGTCAGCAGTGCTATCCTACAGTTTATAATCTACGTGTATTTTTACAACATGCCTATCCTATTTTTTTGGCGCAAAGTTATAAATCCAAATCATCTAAAAACGAGAGAATCAGAAAAAAAGGTTGATTTCTTTTCCCACAGGGCAACCTTTTACCCACAGGGATACGTTTATACTCCAATGCCTGGCGATCCCGAGCAGACCTTAATCCGGTGGGTCAACCACGCGGACACCCATCTGGCGTTCATCCCCGCGTCAGTCGTCAGCCTTCTCATAGCGAAGACCAGCAGGGACACCTTCATGTACTTCAGAGATCACGTGGAAACCTTGAGGAAGGAAATCACGGGATTGAAGGGAGTCTGACACTTCGTTTTTGTGTTGCCTCTTATGTTTTTAAATCAATTAACCGGGGA